GCCCAAAGGAGCCACACAGGGAAGTGTCATTGTTGGTGGAAACGGTGAAGGAGGACAATCGAACCAACTCAATTGGCCCATCGGTTTGTCATTCGATCGGCATGGCAATCTCTATGCCGTCGATAACGGAAATCATCGAGTACAAAATTCAATATGGATTCAAGTTCTTGGCAGATGTTGGCTGTAGATCTTGATGAAATGTGTTTTAATCTCCAGAATAATCCTCCAAATAAGCGATCCTGTAGGTGTGCATTAGTGTATAGGTGACGGGGATACAGCAGACTGTGCAGACTCCACGTGTATGGAGTGCCTTGGAGTCATGTGGTGTCTTTGTAAGTTCCATGGAGTCTCAGGGAATTCTTTGAGATGCATATTGGTTCTTCAAAAAGATCAGCTTTTCTTAGTAGCCATGCTTCTGATAGTAAGTCATCTTGCTGATTTCGATCATCTGTGGATAGACATTAAATATTTTTGATGTTCACAGGCGTTTAGAATCTCTGTTCTGACGCTATTCATCGATTAATGAAGAGTCTACACAAAGGACAAATGAAAGCTTGTTGGTGCAGCCTCTTTGGAATTGAAATGTGGAACTATTTTACTTTGTTTAATTTCATTATACTAATAGGCAACATATGGTGTAAAATCTCTAAAAGACGATAGTTCCTTTTCCATGACGATCGATTGTAAGCAAACTCTGCCTTGTTTATTTTCACATTTAGAACATAAACGTTTTTTGCGAACACTCCACTTTTCGGTTTTATTGCTGCTATTTACTCGTTATTTACCATTTGCGTAGTTCGTTTTTCTTAATTTATTATATTTGATTATGAAAAGCATTGAATAAAATGGCAAATAAGCCTGTTATTAATATCCATTATTTAATCTCGGTTGTTTAGGTCCAAATTGGGGAGAGGGGAGGCGGAAAACTTCGACTTAAAACTTACACACTCTATTTTCTTCGAAAACATATGACATTGCCATAAAGTCTTTCTAGAAATGCAATACTTATTTTTATTCCTTTTTACTCATGTCCATTATTCTTGATAATCTGTCACATGACAAACGACGTTGTTTCTCTGTTAACATCCAACAAGGAGTCTATTTATGAAAATATTTTACAGTATTGTTTATCTTAACTTGAAAATAGGATTCGTTTAAATTTGGATTGCTTGAGTTTCTGATCCATGTATCATTGTATACTGTTTCTTTCGTTGTAATTGTATTAATCTCATCAGTCTCATCATAGTGGTCATCTGATATCTCAGAATCACAACTATGGTCTTGCTTATTATCACTACAGTTGTCATCTTCTTCCATTGATGTTGTTTCATCAACATCGGAATCATAATCAGCATCATGTTTGGAACGATCATTCATTTTATTTGTTTTTACATAATTGATAATATTTGTATTTGAATCACTTTGCTCAGCGGCATGATTTTGTTTCAACAATGTTGACATTTTTAAAATACACCTATGTTCTTGTACTGGTTTATTCGCCTTCAAGATAATTTTTTCGATGTTCAAATCATCAATATTGATTACATTTTGCAGCAGCAATAAATCATTTTTTATATATTTATGATGAACATGGAATAGTAAACGATTTTCTTGATTATTTGATTGTTCGATATATTTAATTAGATATAATACCGCGAGTTTTTCAATACGCAGAAGAAAATTATCTATTGTAAAGTTTACTTTTGTTGAATAGCAACCATTAAGTGCGCGTGAGTTTTTAAAATTTGACCCACAAGCGCGCGCTTGTGAATAAAAAATAGAAAAATATTTAATGCGTGTTTTGGTAATAGTTGTTGTTGAACCAATAGAATAAGATATAATAAATGATGCACATTTGTTTCTACAAACCAATATGCCGACTTAGTAGCCAAATATTTACCTTTACTCTTCTGGGATGTTTTTGCTATTGCTTTATTAATAAATAATTTAAATTTTATCCATATCGGCCAAAGTCTACAGACTAGGACAACCAACCACGAATAGTATAAACGATCATTGGTAGGTTTTGACTTCTGATTAGAAGCAGCAATAATATATTTCGTTAATTGAAGGTATAGATAAGTTGCTTGTGTATCAGAATTATCACATACAATTTTTCATGAATCTTTAAAATGGTATTTTTAAACATAATTGAAAAGTTTAACGATCTTTAGGATTTAAATTGCCTATTGTTAACCGATGATCAACCTTTGATAATTTCTTATCATCAATAATGTTGACTAAATGTTGTAAAGTAACTGTTTGTTGACCCATTATTATTTATGCTGTTGTAGGTAACATTCTATTTCTCCATTTCGTGATCAAATGAGTTGCATCTTGTAAAAATAACAGAAGTTGCCGATTTCGCAAAAAAAAACATGCCCATGTTGTGGGTATTCTAATAAGGAACGCATCTGGATTGTCAAGTAATCGAGTGTTGAAAAAATCAGCAAATGATCCCAATACCAAATACATACTCTTTAAATATTTGCTGTCGAAATCTCGAATGGAAAGAGAAAAAATATTTTGTTTTCAATAACCGAAAATATGGTAAAAAATAAAAAATGTGAAAATATCGGTTGAAAATCCAATCACTTACATACTTTTCTTACTACATTCTTCATAAATATATGATCATCATCGAATAATATCAATGCTTGTATATTTATGATTAAGACCGTATGCAGATAAAAGAAATGGAGACGATTGATTCAGATATTGGACTGCGGAGTGAAACACATGAATATTTAATAATGGTACCTTTTTGAACGTATTGA